GACATTATGCTAAGTAAAATAAGGCAGTCACAGAATAACAAATATTGTGTGATACCACTTATATGAGGTACCTAGAGCAGTTTAATTTATAGAGATAGAAAGTAGAATGGTGGTTGCCAGTGGCTGGGGAGAGGGGAGAATGGGGAGTTAGTTTAATGAATACAGTTTCTTTCTTTTTTTTTTTTTTGAGGAAGATTAGCCCTGAGCTAACTGCTGCCAATCCTCCTCTTTTTTCTGAGGAGGACTGGCCCTGAGCTAACATCCGTGCCCATCTTCTTCCACTTTATATGTGGGACGCCTACCACAGCATGGCTTGCCAAGCAGCGCCATATCCGCACCCGGGATCCAAACTGGTGAACCTCGGGCCGCCGAAGTGGAACATGCGCACTTAACCGCTGTGCCACTGGGCCAGCCCCTAAAATTTCAGGTGGGAGAAATGAAAAAATTCTGAAGATTAGATGGTAGTGATGGTTGTACAACAATGTGAATGAACTCAAAATGGTTAAAATGATAAATTTTATGTTGCGTATATTTTACCACAATAACAAATTTTTAAAGAATAAAATGTTTATGCTGCAGAAGACATCACCAAGAGAGTGAAAAGACAACCCACAGATTGGGGAAAAATATTTACAAATCATAATATATCTGATAAGGGACACATATCCAGAATACATAAAGAAAGAATTCCTACAACTCAACAACAAAAGGACAAATAACTCAATTTAAAAATAGGCAAAGGATTTGAATAGATATTTCCCCAAAGAAGATATAAAAATGGCTGATAAGCAGCAGAAAAGATACTCTACATTATTAGCCATTAGGGAAATGCAAATCAATAATACCACAATAAGATACCACTCACACCCACTAGGATGGCTATAATAAAAAAAACAGATATTAACAAGTGTTGGCAAGGATGTGGAGAAATTAGAACTCTCATATGTTGCTGGTGGGAACGTAAAATGGTGCAACCACATTGGAAAACTGTCTGGTAGTTTCTCAAAAACGTTAAACACAGAGTTACCATATGACCCAGCAATTCCAATTCTAGGTATACCACCCAAGAGAACTGAAAACATGTCTGCACAAAAACTTGTACACGAATGTTCATAGCAATGTTATTCACAAGCCAAAAAGTGGTTTAAAAAAACCCCAAATGTCCAATAATTGACAGATAAACAAAATGTGGAATATCCATATAATGGAGTATCATTCAGCAATAAAAAGAAATGAAGAAGTGATAAAAGTTACAATATGGGTGAATCTTGAAAACATTATGCTAAGTGGAAGAAGCCAGTCACAGAGGCCACATATTATATGAATCTAATTATATGCAATGAGCAGAATAGGAAAATCTATAGAAACAGAAAGTAGATTAGTGGTTGCCAGAGGCTGGGGGCAGAGGGGACTGCAGAGTGACCACTAATAGATAAGGGGTTTCTTTTTGGGGTGATGGAAATATTGTGGAATTGATGGTTACATAACTCTGTGAATATGGTAAAAACCACTCAGTTGTACATTTTTTAGGGGATTTTAAGGGTGAATTTTATGGTATGTAAATTATAACTCAATAAAGCTGTTATAATAAAAAGAAGGAAGTAATCAATTATGTCAAGTTGCTAACTGATTAAGAGGAAGACTAAAAATGGACCAAGAGTTTGGCAATATGGTGGTCATCTGAGGCCTTGACCCAAAGCTATTTTGGTGGAGTGGTAGAAATGAAAGAATTGAATTTTTACGTAATGCATGTGAGGGTACCTAAAACAGTGCCTTGTACATAACCCCCCACAAAAAGAAGGAAAAAGATGAAAAGTAACTCGAATTAATGGTAAGCTACTATTAGTAAGCTTCAGCCCTAAAATGTCCCAAGCAGAGCAGTGAAGAAAGCCGATTTCTCAAATGTCACGTGGTGGTAGCAGCCACTGATATACTTAATCAGTTTACCAGGTGAGGATGACTGCTCTTGTGGACTTTGTAACAAGAATTTGTTGGTGTGGGGCTGGCCTATGTGCTTACCTTGCTCTATTCCTCCTGCTCCATGGATGGTGCTGGAATGAGGCCCGGACCCAGCACAGAAGGGATGCTGCCACTCTACTGCTTGGCAGCCCCTCCACCATTCCCTCTGCAGCCCAGACCAGACTGGATCCTGGCTAGGACTCAGAACTTTGGCTTGCTTTCTTACTGGTGTTTCAGAAAACCTCCTCCTCCTCATTCTCACTGCTGCAGCCACCACCTGCTTACCGCAGGTACAATTTCCTGCATTGCCTAGCAGGATGTCAGCCCAGAAGGGGAACTCTGCAAGCTGAAGAGTTGGGCCCAAGGGTCCTGGGTGCTCACGCTAACATCAACTCCCACCAAGGTTTAAGGAGTTAGTAAGGAAGTACTACTTTGATATTTGCTGTTTCTATTGTTGCTGTAATGTAATAATTTCTAAATGTCCACCGAGAAGGAAAAAGGGCTGCAAAGTTAAGAGGAGAGAGAAATCCCTTACAGCTGAGGAATTATAGGTGGCTTCCTGGAGGAGCTGATGTTTTGGCCATATGTCGAAGAACTGAGTCAAGTTTGCTAGGCTTATGTGGTGAACACAGCACCTTAGGCTAGAAAGAAGCACGTGTACGTGAAGAGGCCAAGAATGGAAAGTATAAGGCAAATTTGCGAGGCAGTAAAGTTTCTTTTTGGGTGGAGTATAGTGGACAATGGGAGATAAGCCTGGAGATGTAAACCAGAGACCAGTTGTAGTGGCCTTGAATGCCAAGTGAAGGAATTTAGACTTTTTTTGATAAGCTATAAGGAGTAATTAGCTCTAGGGATATTTGGAAGGAGTGTGACATGATTTTAATTTTTCATTTTTTAAATTTAATTTTATGACTTGGTATTACATTCATGTTACTCAAATTCTAAAAAGTATAAAAGGCATATAGTGAAAATCTTCTCATCCCATTAGTTTTTCACCTAATACCTTTCCCCATAGGCAATCATGCATCAGTTTCTTAGGTATCTTTGTTAGATATTCTACACATACACAGACACTATGGGTTTGTGTGTGTATTCTTTCTCTCTCCTTTTTATACAGATGTACGCGTCTTACCCATACTGTTCTGCACCTTGTATTTTTCTTGTGTCAATATATCTTAGATATCCTTCCATTTCAGTAAAGAGCTACCTAATTCTTTTTATAGCTACATGGTATGTATTCCATTGTTCAAATGTGCTAGTAAATTATTTAACCAGTCTTTCTTAATGAACATTTAGATTGTTTTCAATCTTTGCTATTAAAAATAATACTTCAAAAATAGCCTTGAACATATGTTGCCTCCACACGTGAAAATATACCTGCAGGGTGTATTCCTGGAAGCGGTGTTGGCGCTCAAAGAGAATACATGATTCTGATCAATTTTGCCACTTGCCTTTCTTAGAGGTTATACTAATTTACACTCCCATCCCACCAGCAATGCACAGGCGCCTGTTCCCTCACACCTTTGCCAACACAATATGTTTCATAATTTTAATTTTGCCTTAGAAAGATTAATCAGGTTATATGCATAAGAGGACAACTCCATTCACATTTAAAACTGGATGAATATAGCATATGTTTGTGGATAGAGTGGGAGATGTAATTTTAAAACTACATATCTCCATGCTACCTAGAAAAAATTTCTCCCATTTCTTGTAGTCAAAAACCATTCCATTCTCCAGGTCTTACGTGAGCAGCTTTTAGATGGAGATGGAAGAAAGGGAATATGCTGTGTGGAGGGCAGAGTCAGGCTATTGGACAGGGCCAGCAATATAAGCAGTTCCTGGAGAGCTCCAAGTCGGAAATAAGGTTCCATGTTGTCAAGTCCAGTACTAAGAAGACAAGTTGGGGTAAGGGAAACTCCCACAGTGGCCTGTGAGCTGGAAAAGCCTCACCAGCTGCCAGGGAAATGGCAATCTTATCTCAGCAAGAATCCCATGGAGAATAATTTTAAAATGTAACATAGGATTACACCAACCCCTCTAGTGTCTGTGAGCAATATGCCTCATCCCCCATTCCTGCCTCCTATCCCACACCTACTTTACACTAGAATATCCTAAAAGTCCTGCAGCTGTAAATTACTTCTGCCCAGATGTTTCCCCCTCTTATATGAAAATGTACTTTCTAAACCTCCCCTCAATAGATTGGAAGCTCCCTAGGGACAGGAATTCCTTTCCTGTTGCTTTAGAATCCCCTTTCACTCCAATTCCCACAGGACTAGCTTAAAATCTGTACAGTCATGTACCACATGATGACGTTTCAAAGATGGACCACATACACGACAGTGGTCCCATAAGATTAGTACCACATAGCCTAGACGTTAGTAGGCTGTACCATTTAGGTCTGTGTACGTACACTATGATGTTCACGCAACGACGAAATTGCCTAACAATGCATTTCTCAGAACATGTCCCTGCTGTTAAGTGATGCATGACTGTATGCATGTAATTTGGACTGACTCAAGCTGTGCACCTCCCCATCGCCTTGTGAAATTCACCACCAAGCTGGGCCTCATGCTGGCCTGATGGAGGCCATACCCAGTCAGCTATGACCCCATTAAATAGAGACTCAGAATACCTGGGTACATGTCTTCTACTGAGAGATGGTTTGCCTTCTGTACTAGCTCATGCAAAAGTTTTCTCTGCCTCAGTCTTTTCTCTCTTAGAACATTTTTAAAATTGTAGATGCACTTGTTGAGGTAGATAGTCTCTGCACACACTTGCTCTAGGCTTAGTCTGCTCTGCTTGGGAGATTCAGGCCTGGAACAAGTTTCACTTCCCAGACATGGAGCCAGAGCAACACCTGGCAATGAATATGCAAGAGGCAGGTTGTTAGAAGCCAGAGAGAAGTTGCTGGGATCCTGAGAGTTTTGGTCTCCCTGTGCAGAGAGCCCCATTCCACCAGAGACTACACTGAGCAAACTCTCACTCCCCTGACTTTCAGGGCTCTCCACTGAGAAATCCTGGGCACCTCCTGAACTCACTGTCACAAGAAGTCTGTCACTGTTCTCTGTCTGGGATCCACTCTCATTGCCTTGCAGGTCCTCAGGACTGATCGATCCACTGTTCTCCGGCTTCTGAAACACTCCCTGTAGAGCTGAACGAAAGTGGTGAATTGCTCGGCCCAGTTTACTGGTATAAAATTTAATTTCTACGTCTTCATGCTCCTGTGAGCCACTCAGACCACAAGAGGACTTTTCAAAGACATTTTTAAGGACCTGAGCAGCACATTCCTCCTCTTCATTCAAGTCAATATGAACCATGTCACGGAAAGTCTCAGGCCCTATGATCATTTCCTCCATCACGCTGCCACAGCTCAGAGCTGCAAACCTTCCGGACTTGTCTGTCAAGAGGTCCTCTAACTGCTTTGAGCTCAGAATATCAAGCCCAGCTTCACAGGCCAGGAGCTTGTCCTCTGTGTTCATCAACTCAGACAGCGACAGGTAGCTGCTGGCCTTACTCTTATCGCTGCAGTTTTCTCTTTTTGTTACTTCATATGCTTCAAGTCCTTGCCTGCATTGTTTGAAAACCTGGGATTTCCCAGAATCCTCCTCTTTTGAGATTAACACTAGGGAAGCTTCCTCAAATTGAGGGAGAGGAGACAGAGAAGCTTCTCTCCCTGTCAGTTCACTAGGGCCACCACTGATGACTCGGGATGCTTCTGGTGTTCCTTTTACTTCGTCCCCTGGCTGAGACACATCACTTGGCTTTGCTAAATTGTTCTTGGGTGGGAAGCAAAGGCCTTGCTGCTCAAGGTTCTGGGATTCTCTATGTTGATTCTGAGCTCTCATGTGATATGCTCCTGTTTTGGGTCCCATGACTCCTGTTTCCATCTGAAGCACTGGTTCATGTAGGTTTAAAGTATTTGAATTATGATCCTGAAGTTGTTGCAAAAATGACAGAGACTCCTTTTGGGAATTCTTACAGCACTGTGGCCAGCTTGGTTCTTCTCTGGTGGCAATCCGGATGCCTAAACTCTGCAAAAGGATGGATTTCTGCAAGATGAAGTCTCTATGCTCTAGATGGGCAAGCTTCACAACAGTAGGCCTGGGGGCTGGGGCTTTGCCTGCCCTGTAAGCCTCTCTGATGTACCTGTTGCACTGAACGCCATTAACACAGAGGTGCTTGGCCAGGAAGCTGTGTACCAGCTCCATGGTATTCTCCCCATCTTGCTCAGGAAGTCCATACAGATACAGAATGGCTTCCTCACTGGGTCGGTCCACATGGGGTTCCTGGGCCTTTCCACCCACACACACCTTGGCCAGGGAGCTGCTGCCCACCTGTAAGCCTTCTATTTCACTGAGAACTGAGTCTACACAGCTAGAGACTTCATCCACTGAACCCCGGACTTGGCTCAAGTGCTGCTGCAGCTCGGCAATCTCAGTTTGGAGACGGCTGATGCCTTGCAGCTCTCTGATAATATAGTCTACTACATCTCCCAAAGGTTCTCGCTGCTCACGGCTGCAGCCTTGCCCAGGGCCTCTGGACAAAAAGGGAGTAGCTTGATTCCTCTCTGAGCGCTCTTGACAGCTTGTGGTAATGCTAGCAGATGAGAGGTCCTCAGAGCCAGACTCTGAAACACAGGCAGTGGAGCCCAGAAGCGGCTGGATGCTGGCCTGCTGCCCAAAGCTGCAATGCTGGGCTAGGCCCCCGTCTCTATCCCCACTAGTGGCAGAGGCTACTGATCCACAGTGAGGGGGCACGGAACTGCCCTCTAGTGAGGATCCAGCAGGGCCTGAGGACTTGCTCTTGATGCCACACACAGTCTCTGCCTTAGCCTTATCCGGGGAAAGCCTGGAGGAGGGTCCCAAGGTGACCATGATTTCTTCCTCTGACTCTTGCAACAATCGCTTCATTTTGTCCCTCGAGGTCTGAGGGATTCTCTGCTTCTTCCTCTTATTTCTGGTCAGGATAGTTAATACAGATTGTCTTAGAAGGCAAGACCCTGTCCTGATCTTTTCAGTCTATTTCTAGCAATTGTTGCTGGCTGATGCCTTGGGTTTACCCCACAGTGCTGCCTGGTATGGTCCCATGTGTGGTCTCCAAACCTGGCACATGCCCCTGGATCCTGGCTTGACTCTTATCCTGCAGCTAGTGAAAAAGGAAAATACGACATTCAGGTCAGAAACCAGAAGGATACTTTTAATCTGAATCAAGCTGTCAAGCAGGAATAAGAACACTACCTTCTAAGACTATAGGAACCAACGCTGACCTGTCTCCCAACGCTGGCCTTTAAGGCTATAGGCAGTCAGTTCTCTCTCCTTGGTTTCCCATCAGAGTATCGATGTAAAATCAAATCAAGTCCTTGTGTTCTGGGAAGGTACCTAAAGGCAACAAGATTGAGACAAACTCTGGGAAGTAGGTGGGTGTGAGCTCAGTGTCTGGCTCAGGGATGAACAAACAGATGCTTAACCACCAAAGCTCAAATCACATACACAGTGCAAGACAAGACACGGAATGTTTCTTTTTTTCGCCCAGTTTGTTGTTCTGGCAAATACTCAGTTACTCAAAGGTTCACTCCCGCCTGTCCTTGTAGCACAAAGTGTCTTCCCTTGTTTAGTGATAGCAACCCTTCACTTGGAGAAAGGACCATGGCAAGTGTTTCAAACCTGGCGAACAAAAAATGTCTTCTACATCAAATTCTAGACTAAGGCGGCACAGTATGGACATAGGCACCATCCAGAACTCAAAGTGGCATTTAACATGTCTGGATCTAGAGGGGCAGGTGGCCAACAGCACACATATGATAGGCTCACAGCTGGGGATAAAGGAGTTCAGATGCAGCCTGGAGTGCCGGACTCCACTTAATAGTCCCTAAGGACTTGGCACACCCTAATCAACAAGCAGATTTGGCTCTCTTGGTCCAACACCGCCTTCAGGGCAGGGGCTGATTTCCCAGCACCATCCACGGCTGGAGTAACAGAGGGCTGCTCTAGCCCTCTGACAGGCCTGGAGAGAAGGATGCATGCGACAGGCAGGGAGTTGGTTACTTCACAGAGGGCTCTGGGGTTCTTTGCTGTTCTCCAAAAAAGTGAAGACAGACTTGCCACCAGTCTTGCTCCTACATCCTAAGCTACCAGTGACTGCACTACAAAAGCAGAGAAAGACTATTACCTTATGTAGGGTGGGCATCCATTCCCTTTTTGCTGGGAACATGCAGAGTGTAGGGAAAGAGCAGAGTAGAAAGTACAAAAGGGAAATCAGGGAGCCCAGGAATGCATGGGACTGCCAATATCACCCGGGAGGTGGGGGTTGGGAGGGGTGGTAAAATCGGCTGGTGGGAGACATCCTACCCTTCATGTTCTTCAACCAGGGATGGTTTCCTCATTTTCTAGATTTGATCTGTATTTCTAAATCTCCTAAACATCTACCTCTTTTCCTTTTCTCAGTGCTCAAGTTAACCCTAAAAGGGGAAAACTGCCTGTGAAGAACACCAGTGACCACTCTCACAGCAATTCATTTTCAGGAAAGGCCACCATCTACAGTCTGTGGGCCTGACAGTCAAAAGCACTGTGTTCCCCAGACCAAGAACAACCAGAAGGATGAGTCACGAGACTTACGACAAAGATGAAACTGACCCCTTTTACTGGAAATAATCAGGCCAAGAACCAAGAGACAGAACTAGATTAACTCCCATTTCATTTCCTCCCTTCTTCTCTCTAGCTCACCTAAAAACTCTACTTCATCTAGGAATTTCCCATCTAAGAATACTATCTATCCTGTGAGACACTGAAGAGGCCCAATTACTGTTTTTTTTTTTTTTTTTTAAGATTTTATTTTTTTCCTTTTTCTCCCCAAAGCCCCCCAGTACATAGTTGTGTATTCTTCGTTGTGGGTTCTTCTAGTTGTGGCATGTGGGACGCTGCCTCAACGTGGTCTGATGAGCAGTGCCATGTCCGCGCCCAGGATTCGAACTAACGAAACACTGGGCCGCCTGCAGCGGAGCGCGTGAACTTAACCACTCGGCCATGGGGCCAGCCCCCCAATTACTGCTTTTTAACCATTACTGCTTTACTCCAGTATCTCAAGGGGCCAGGATCAGCCACACCCCTAATTTGGCCCACTCACTGCAGTCCGTGTGAGAGAGACAGAGGATGCCCTATGTATACCACCAGAACTCCTGGGACTTGGGCTTTTTGCCTAGGTAGCAAAGCCCCCAGTTTTGGGACTCATCAAATTCTTCCTTCTCTCCTCCCACAAGTGCAAAATCTATACTTCCAAAGCCATCCCTTTCTTTTTTCTCCAACTGTGCAAAGTCTACGTATCCCTGATTTGGTCTTGGCACCTAGTATTAGCTTTGAACAACGTTCCTGATCCAACAAGGACTGGAGATGGCAATCAGCCTTTCAAGTTTGCCTCAAAGAGGAAAGATTGCTTACTAAACCAAGATGGAAGCTCTGCGTATGACCACTTGAAGCCAGGAGCAAGTGCTACTAGACTGAGAATCAGGAGACTTAAATTTGGGTCTTGCTTCGCCAGTGACCTTGGATTAAACACTTGACTTCTCTGTGCCTTAGTTTCCTCATCTGTAAAGTGGGGAAGATAGACAAATTTATAAAGCTAAAATGAGAGACTGACAATTAGTAAACTGTGAAGTATCACAGTGTTGTTGTTATTAGGGAGATGGCAAGTCCCTGAGACAAAGAAACCAATATCTAAGCCAAGCACGCAATCACCTAAATGGTACGACTTGAGTGAACCATGACTTCTATCCTAGCCACAGACCCCTGCCTTTCCCAGTCTCTTCTAACGGTCTGTAGCAGTACCTGGAATCCCACCATTAGGTTGTCATTGTTTTTTTTTTTTTTTTTAAAGATTTTATTTTTTTTTCCTTTTTCTCCCCAAAGCCCCCCAGTACATAGTTGTGTATTATTCGTTGTGGGTCCTTTTAGTTGTGGCATGTGGGACGCTGCCTCAGCGTGGTCCAACGAGCAGTGCCATGTCCGCGCCCAGGATTCAAACCAACGAAACACTGGGCCGCTCGCAGCAGAGCACGCGAACTTAACCACTCGGCCACGGGGCCAGCCCCATAGGGCGTCATTCTTTATTGGTCCTGCTTTCTTCCACAAGTTTTCTTTTTAAGGTAAGAAAAGGGAGGAGCAAAACATTCAGTCCCCAACATTTCATTCAGGTGACAGGAGGCTCGCTATCCTCCTTCAGGCAGCCTGAAAGCATGAGGACAGAGCAAATAGCTACAGAAGGCAAAGCTTTTCCTTTCTAATGCCGGTGAGGCCCAGAACTCATTGCCAGGTCCTCCAAGGCCAGCCCCAGTTTGGTCCAGATGAGGCCATTTTTTCAGGAACAAAAATGAAGCTGACTTCTCCTGCTATTGCTTCAGTACAGGCCAGGTTAACTTTCGGCCTATCAGCTTCTGTCCCTCAGATCAATACTCCAGTTAATCTTAGCCTAACTTCCTGGACAGCCTTGCCAGGTATCTCCTCCTAGAGTGCAGTGCCTATGCCACTGCTGGCCAGCCACACTGGGGCAAATGGCACAGCCACCGTGTTCAGAGCCCTTTCCTAGGGCCTCCTCAAGGACTGAAGGCAGAGCTGCCCGGTTTCCTACATGACTGACAAATAGGAAATTTCCAACTAGAGGTGCCATAGCAACTTCTCCCAGCCCCAAACAAAGATGTTTGCTTCCATATTATACAAACAAACAAAACCTTCCAAAACTTCTTCTGAATTGCCAGCCACTGCCCCTGGAAGATATTTAGGTTTTGAAGCAGGGGACAGAGTGCAATGGGATGCCAAGATGATCAACCAGTCACTTTGCTTAGAACCCATAATGTGCTGAAAGGCAACCCTCAGAGCCAAGAGGCCCCATTCAAGGCCACCTCCTTCCCCAGCCTGTCTTTGCTACTACTGTCCACAGGAATGAAATAACAGGGACCAAAATGTGACAAGGACAGTTTGATCACTAAATCAATTCAACCTATGTGCCAGGCACTAAGCTATATGCCAGAGATATAAGACACAGTTCTTGCTCTCTAATATATTAAGGTTTGAAGAGGGAGATAGGCATATAGACAATCACAAAATAAGGTGATACATGTTATAATAGAAGTTGTAATAAAAAGCAAGCATTCAATTCCGGGATAGGAAATGGGAAGGCATTGAGAGGCCCAGCAAAACCAGGACAAGGAAGGTCATGGAGAAGAAGTAATATTCGAGCTAGAATGGGATAAGGCGGCCTTGGGGTCCATCCAGCTCAAACCCAGCCCTCTAGCCTCCTTCACAGTATCCAGTGCTGTCACTCTGCCCCATTCTGTTGGTTTATCCACTCTAGTCAACTCTCCAGATTTCATACATATGTTCTCAAATATGGCCATAGTTTTCTGTGATCTTTTCCTAAGGAATGCTTAAGGCTGGAAAAAATAAGGCAGCGCTTTCAAGGGATATCTGCATTTGACAAGGGAACATATCAAAATAAAATGAATTAATCAAAAGGAGTAAAACTTCAATGATGGAAAGCTGAGAACTACAGCAGAGAGTAGACCCCCTTAAATCACACTGCATCCGCATCAGCCTACCAAAAAAAGTCAAGAGGAAAAAACCCTTCAGTTTTCTGAAATGGCTGATTCTTTTACTCTTCTCTCTGACTTATCAAATAAATGTTTTAAGTAATGTGAGTATTCCTTGTAAAATTGCTTCTGACCCAAATCTTGGCTTGGAGGAAGGAACTGGGGGACCTCGGGGAACAGGCCAGGACTATCTATAAATATATCAAGCAGCCTCTTACTTTGTGTGAAAACAATGCCAGAAGGCAGAAAGTCAGGAGCTCTGAGCCTCCCACATCCCACCCACAGAGGGCAGGTCATTCCTGGGCCATTTACCAATTATGCTGTATGGCTAATATGGTGGGAGGAATGGGTTTCTAGGGCCACAGCAGGTAGGGGTATTCTTAGGAGGTTAATCTTTGGGAAAGAATCAATGCTTACAGAGAATTCTGTCAGAGAAAATGATCACGGTCACGAGGTATAAAGAGTGAGATTAGCCAGAAGGAATAAAGAATGCCTTAGATCAAATGCACACCAAGGTCCCAGTACTGCAGTTCCTAGGATTTGCCCTTCCTCCTCTCCAGCATCAGCAGGAACCCCATTTATAGGCTAGAAGATGGACACCGTAAAGGAAAGTAAACCTCAAGAGCACTGTATCCAAGAGGGGAGACAGAACCTCAAGTAATGTACTGCAGCGTGAGGGAAAATGCAGCCTTCAGGGGGTTGGCATATCAAGACTTCTGAACGAAGACTGAATGACATTCAGGAGAGCTGGGGATTCTGTGCCCCACTCAGG